TATACATACATATATATGTTTGTTCAAGTTCCCTAGATATTATGGATACTCAATAAACTGTCCTAATGAAAATCATCCCATCTTTTCCAGGAACTTGATTTATACCTTTTTTAGTCCCTTGATCTGTAAGTCAAACAGCTATTCTGTTACTCTGTTTTATGACCTTTATTTACATCAACAATTGTGGTATTAATGGTAGCTAGTGACAAGACAATGGCTTCCCTCAATGGTGCCCTTTACTTAGGCCTGATGGGGGCTTGAGTGTGTAACGTCCATCACAGAGTAAGATGAAAAACTAAGACCCATGAGCTTCATCCTGCCCAAGCTGACCTTCAACTCCAGGTGCAGGTTTGATTGAATACTCCTGTGTAAATCCAGTGTCTGGGTGACTGGATTTTCACTTCTAGTTATCTCCCACTTCCTTTTCTTAATGTTAAAAAACTAATGAAGACAATGTTTGCTTGAGACCTATGAACTTTCCAGAAGGAAAACATTGTTACTCTTGCTGATAATCATCATCAGTTGGCATCTGTGAAGTCAAAAAACAAAACTTGCCTACCTTTTCTGCCTCAGGAAAATTTGAACCTGGCTCTGAACTCTGCCTCAGCCATTGGGTGCCATGTGGTCAACATAGGAGCTGAGGACTTAAAGGAGGGAAAGCCTTACCTGGTCCTTGGACTTCTGTGGCAAGTCATCAAGATTGGGTTGTTTGCCGACATTGAACTCAGCAGAAATGAGGGTATGTACAAAGTCCCAAACATTGTTCATGGTGTGATGGGGGCTGTAGGAGAAGAATATCAGGAATGGTCAAGCACAGAATTCTCACGTTTTGAAAATTATACAAAAGTATACCGAATTAATTGTATTAATGTGACAGATTCTGTCCACAATGACCTTTTAAAACAAGGGGGCAAAACTCTTTCTAATCACTGACTAATACTGCTTGTTTACAACATATAGCTCATCCTAGCTGCCCCAGACTCTCACCTCAACAGCTTTTCTCAGAGAGTCCACTTTGCCCTTAGACACTTCATAACAAGCAAGACTACTTATAATTTGTGTTATATGAAGTGGTCCATGTTTACATACTGCAGCAATCTCTTCAGATTCAGAGAACTTGTATTTCTTGTCAAGATTTTGGAGTATTATGTTTAGAGTTTCAAAGTTCTCGACCAAATATGTAGCTGCTAGTTTTGTTCTCTCTGCTCCCACTGTCATCCTGTCTGTTTATGAACAATTGCAGCTTTGTTGCTTAGACAGACATAGCAGACCTTGATAAGCATCATACAAAAGGCATCGTTACCTTGGAGTTCACGAACAGATGCACCACTATGAAATCTGTAGCCAACATCCAACCTTTAGTTATATATACTTTTTATTTATGTGTCCAAATCCCAATAACCAGTGGAGAATCCTAGCGTACAACTTTAAAGTGAACATTTTAAATATAATTTAAAGGGGAAAAAAAAGCAAATGGAGATTTTAGAAACCAAGAGAAAGAATATTGATTTGCAAATAATGACCTCAGCTAAATTTAAACCTTCTAGCTGAGCAAAAAGTATTCTTCAAAGGAAACAAAGAAAAGGGTTGATTACATTTTTGAGATGCTGTAATTATTCAGGTAAGCATTTTAAACATAAAACATCTATGGGAGTAGAAAAGAGAACACTGTCATTATTACATAATTGATCTCTTAAAAGCAAAAGTGTCCTCTCATGAAATGTGCTCTGAGGGGTCCAACAAGGAATTCTGAGCCAGTTGTCCTGGCTATGTTCATGGCTCTGCAGCAGTGTTCTTAGGCATAACATTGATTATTCATAGGTGTCTCGTCTTCTCCATCTGAAAAATGGGGATAATAAGTCATTTCAAAATACTTTACGCCTCCTTTTAAGGAATAATGTTCATGAGTGATGCAGTTGAGTGCATCAGTTAAGTGATAGGCTATTAACAGAAAACTTGGAGGTTTGAGTCAACCCAAAGGGGCCTCAGAAGAAAGGCCTGGTTATCTATTTCCAAAAAATCAGCCATTGAAAACTCTGTGGAGCACAATTCTATTCTGACACACATGGAGTCCCTATACATCCAGATCTACTCGATAGCCTCTGGTTGGTTTTTGCTTTTTTAGAGAATACTAAAAAATGCATTGCTGTCAAGTCAACTCTGACTCACAAGTACCCTTTAGAACAGAGTGTTGTTGTTGTTGTTGTTGTTATGTGCCGTCAAGTCAGCCCCTACTCATAGCGACCCCTCCTTGGGTTTCCGAGGCAGTGTCACTACGGAAGTAGATTGCCCCATCTTCCTTCCAAGGAGTGGCTGGTGGGTTTGAACCGCCAGCCTTCTGGTTAGCAGTCAAGTGCCTTAGGCACTATGCTACCAGAGCACCTTAGGACAGAATAGAACTGTCCAATAGGGTTTCTAAGGCTGTAATCTTTATGGAAGGAGCTCTGGTGGTTCAGTGACTAAGGCATTTGACTGCTAACCAGAAGCTTGGTGGTTTAAACCCACCAGCCACTCTGCAGAAGGAAGACTGGGCAATTTACTTCTGTAAAGATTTACTGCCTTGGAAACCCAATGGGGGTCACTATGAGTTAGAACCAACTTGATGGCAGTAGGTTTGGTGTGTTTTCCCCCCCCCCAATCTTTATGGAAGCAGACTGCCACATCTTTCTTCTGCAGAGCAGCTGATTGGTTCTAACCGCCAACCTTTCAGTTAGCAGCCCAGCACTTAACCACTGCACCACCAGGGCTCCCTGGAATACCAATAAAGTGTTTATTCCATGAAAAGCTACACATACTTTTACCCCCAGGAAATAATATTGCTATCCTCAGCTTTCCAACAGAGCTCAATGAAAGCTCTAACTAACCCCCTTGTATTTATTTGTCTTCTGCTTTTGTGCTTCTCAGCTCTGATTGCTCTTTTGAGAGAAGGGGAGAGCCTGGAGGATCTTATGAAACTCTCCCCTGAGGAGCTCCTGCTGAGATGGGCAAACTACCATCTGGAAAATGCAGGCTGCAACAAAATCAACAACTTCAGTACTGACATCAAGGTAGGAGGCATGGGACTGACTGTGGCCCTAAAGGGAATTCTGAGTGTTAAAGGAAAAAAGATAGCGGTTCTGGTCCTTGTCTTCTGAGAACCTCCAGGTCTGTTAGTGAATTCCTGGTACTGTTTTGGAGCTGCTTCTTATTCTAATCACTTTTTCTGTAGCCCTAACCAGGAGCTCTGGTGGCATAGTGGATAGATAAGGCAACTGGCTGCTAACCAGAAGGTCAGAGGTTCAAACCCACCAGCCACTCCACTGAAGGATGATGGGGTGATCTACTTCTGTAAAGATTTTCAGCCTCAGAAACCCAATGGGAGGTGCTATGAGTTGGGATTGACTCAATGGCAGTGAGTTTGGTTTTTGGTTTGGAGTACTGAGCCAACGGCACCCAGACCTGTTCAAAGTCCTGGTAACTGCACAGCATCAAAGGAAGATGAGTCGCCTTAGAATTTCAATATCAAGTGGAGGGACAAGAGTAAGGAGAGAGAAGAGGGCGAGAGACAACACCCTGTTCTCTCAAGGAAAGAGAGTATGTGGAGGACTGTAATACCTTCCTGGTTGTATAAACAGGAGCACCAGATGGGTATTCCTTTTTAAAAAATTAAATGAGAATGGATTTCCTAATTATACTAAAATAGCAAACACAGTGCCTACTGTATGCTGGGTTCTGACTGCTATGTATAAGTATTAGCACATTTAGTCCTCACAGTGAGGGATGAGGCAAGGATTATAACCTTCCCATTTTACAGATAAGGAAACTGAGGTAAAGTAACTTTTTCAAGTAATTTGTTCAAGTTTATGTACTTAGAACATGGAGCCATGATTCAAATCCAGGCAGTTAGACCTCATGGTCCATGTACTTGACACTATACTAGACTGACTGTCTAAAATGACTCAAGAATTTCTTGAACACCTCTTATTTGCAGAAATAATGTGATTTTTAAACCATAATAATGGCAATAAAAAAGACCAGGTTTACTGGCCTGATAGAGCCTGGTGAGACCCCTGAGACTAGGGCCCCTATTTACCCTTCAGGTATGGAATTGAATACACTCCTGTGGCATCCAGCCAAACAATAGACAGGCATATGGGGTGAACATTTACATCAGGTAGACACACTCCTTAGAATGATTAATCCTGGAAGAACAGAAGGGCAGTGATTCCATACGGAGATAGTTTAGGGGGCAGGAATGCATAAGAAAAAAGGTCATAGGGAAGAGGTAACTAGAGAGAGAAGGTGGGGAGGGAGTTGTTAAATTGTGGTGAATTGCAGTTAATGTCATGAAACAAAATGTGTATGAACTGCTGTATGAAAAATGAATTTGTTCTGTAAACTCTCACCCAAATCACAATAAAAATTTTAAAATTAAATAAAATTATAATAATGGCAAAACTATAGAGATGGTAAAAAGATCAGTGGTTACACTGAGTGAGGAGTGGGTGAGGAGAAAGGTATGCTAAGGTGATAGCTTTGTTATAATTGATGAACCAGTAGTGAAACATTATTAACTAAAGTCCCTAGTTTACATTAGGGGTCACTGTGTGTTGTACAGTCCTATGACTTTTAGCAAATGTATAATGTAATGCATGTATCCACCATTATAGCATCACACAGAATAGTTGTACCACACTAAAGCAAGATGTTAATAATGAACGAAATTATGTAGAAGGAGAAGGGAATATGTGGAAACGCTCTGTACTTTCTGCTCAATTTTTCTGTAAACCTCATCTACTCTAAAAAAATAGAATCTAATTTGAAAAATTAAAAAGCCAGTACAAAGCAGGGCTGGGGAGAACAATAATGATTCTGGAAACCATCTGCAATGGGAATTTATCTCAGAGCATATAGAAGACACAAACAATCCTGAAACAGAGATCCAGAAGGGAAAAGGCTGAGGAGCCATACACTGTAGCTGTCAATTTTATGAAAAGTGCCATGTTAAGGAGAAAGGAAATAGCTGTTTGCATTGACATTGTGGACCAAAATAGAAAGGACTTAAGGAGAAGGAAGGAACATCAGAAAGAAGTTGCTAACAGTAACTGGTGTAAGATGCTAGGTCTCCTTCTCCCCAGAACTGAAAGAAATGTTTTCTAAAGAGTAAGAGTCAGAAGAAAGGCAGATGATCCACCACAGCGATCAAGGTTTGTCGTTCTGTGAGTGACATTTTCCCCATGCAGTAGTATGTGGACTCAGTGACTTTTAGAACTTGGGGTCCCCCAGGCACAGTGCCAGTTAAGAGGGAAATTTCTAGATGGAAAGGCCATCTTCCCTTAGGCCCTATGCTAAAAATTCCAAAGTCATTCAACTATACAACTTTCACTGGTTATGAACATTCTTCTAGCACCACCCACCATGCTGGAGCTTAACAGGGGCTAGATGTAATGGTCTCTGGTTGTGCTCACTAATTATACACTGCAGTTGTAAACTTTTCTGCTGAAATGAGACTGCTTGATCTGAGCCATAAACTTGCCTGATTTCCCATCGCTAAAAGGCCATGTTCTTTAGAATAACTATTTTGTACTTTGCAAAGTATTTGTATGAGTTAGGAACTGGTGAGCTGAGCACTTATCCAGTGGTGGTTCTGTTCTTAAGGTGCAGCTCCTCCAGCTGAGGTCAGTGCTGTCACATGTGGGTCTGAGTGCTGGCACATTTGGAATAACAACCAACCATACTCAGTTGCCCTCCAGTCGATTCTGACTCATGTCACCCCAAAAGGGTCAGTGTAGAGCTGTGCTGCACAGTGCTACTGAGGGACAGCCCCTTTGGAGAGGCCCTTAGACACAGTCAGCATAAGGGACAGGAGAATGCCTATAAATTGGCAACAGGTAGGAGAACGCCATACTAGAATGGGTAAGAAAAATTTATTTGGTATCAGGTGAAATGAAGTTACTCAGTAAAGCTAAAAAGGGTGTATTGTGTGGTGAGCAGATTTTATTTGTGCCGAGCATCTGCATGGAACTTTCAGTGAGAGTTCAGAATAGTGACAACAAACATGTAAGGCTAGGATGGGGCTTAGAAAGAAAAGAGAGGAAAATTGATTTCCTCAGTGCAGCATCAGTGGTTCATACTGGATCTTTCTCACCTCTCTTATCACAAGGGGTGAGCAGTGCTCTACCCTCCCAGGGCCAGTTTTATAAACAAACAAAGCAACAGCTGATGTTTCAGTTTTTCAAGAGAAATGAAGATGCCTTTATCACATAGGGCAAGCATTTACCTGGTGGGTACATTCCTTAGAAGATCAATGACAGGAGAACTGAAGGGCAGTATTTGCACAGGGAGATAGCTCAGAGGCAGGAATGCACTGGAATGGACACGAGAAAAGGGTAACTACAGGGAGGAAGTGGGAAGAGACCTGTTACATTGTGGGGATTTCAGTCAATGTCCTAAAACAAAATGTGTGTGAGCTACTGTATGGAAAATGAATTTGCTCCATAAACTTTCACTCAAATCAAAATTTTTAAAAATTAAAAAAAAGAGAAAAATACAGATGTCTTTAAATTATTTCAATAAATTACTTAACGTTTTTTATAGCTTCATTGCATGAGATAACTTGATAGTTCTGAGATGATAATTCTGAGAATTCTTTTTGTCAATAAGCCTATTTTCAGAATCTAAGAAGCTTAAGAATTCAATACCTGAATTCCATCTCCTATAACTAAATTTAACCTTTTTTGTAGTCTCTGGATAAACATTGAATGGACTTAACATCTTAATAGCTCTCCTTTTATATAAAGACTGCTTATTAATGCTTCTAACTTCCATCTTTGAAAGCTTTATTTTTCTTTTGCTGATTGTCCACTTAAATGCAATTTCAAACTGTGCTTTAAACTTCTGCTTCCTTTTTCTGTCACTTCTTTTTTATTAACCCTTAGCTGACTGACTTCTACAGCAATATAAAGGTATATCTTTTTCCTGTCTACAATTTAATATGTGTAAATTTTTTTTTAAGGACAACAGAATAGTATCTGCTCCTTTGGGCTGCCTTTTGTGTATGTTCTGTATTTTTAATTATTTCCTTTTGAAAAGAGAGCCCAATATGTTATGTAAACAGACATATAGAAAATGCAAATTAGTGAATGTTTCTAGCTTTGTTAATTAAGTTACATTCTTGAATGATAGTCGAATGAGAAATAAAGTATGTTTGCTTTTGGAAAATTACTGTCATGCTAAGTATGTAATTAGCTGTGCTGTTCTGAAACTGTAATTTCTCAATTTCTCACAGGACTCGAAAGCTTATTACCACCTGCTTGAACAGGTGGCTCCAAAAGGAGATGAAGAAGGTATCCCTGCTGTTGTTATTGACATGTCAGGACTAAGGGTAAGGACGTGTCCCAAGTTCTGTTTAGAGAACAGGACGCTGCCTTCCATAGTTACCTAGGTGTTCCTTCACTCTGCATAACTGGGACTCTGGAGTTCCATGAGTGGGCACTTCTGTTTCAAGCTGACTGTGCCTGTTAAACCCACAGTTTTGGATAATAATTATGGGAAACTGAATCTGGGAAAATACACACACACACACATTAAGGAAAGAAACTAATACTAATTAAGTGCATCCACCATGCTAGACATTTCTGTATAGGTCCCATCATTCAATAGTCTTTACAGCACCAAGAAGACACCTGGGTGGCACAAGTGGTTTGCAATTAGCTGCTAACCTAAAGGTTGGTGGTTCTAACACACCCTGTGGCACTACGAAAGAAAGGTCTGGTGATCTGTTGCTGTAAAGATCAGAGCCAACAAAACCTGTGGAGTAGTTACTCTGTTAACACATGGTTGCCGTGAATTGGGATCAACTTGATGACAACAGATTTTGTTTTGTTTTTGGTACAGCACCAAAATGTACTATTATTTCCATTCTTAGGTACTGGAATCTTATTTCTGGAAATAGGCTATTTATAAAAATTAATAAATTCTCATTTTAGAGAGGAAAAAACTGTGACCCAGAAAGGTTCATAGACATATGCAGTGTCACACAATGGGGAGCTATTTGATTTGAGGCCGGGGCTCCTTTCTTCTAGTTGTAGTTGTCATCATCACTCTCTCCACTTGCTGAACTCTACCCTGTGCCAAGGACCATGCTGGTCATGTTGCACACACTAACTGTAATCTCCGTAAAATCACTAAGGTTGGTGTTATTAACTCTGAAAGTTGAGAAAATGGAAAGGTCAAAGAAGCTAATAATTAGCTCATGGCCCCAGAGCTAGTATGCATTCTATGGTAAGAATATAAACCCAGGTTGACTTCAAAGTTCACCCAGCCACCACCCTGACTCACATTAAGGGGAACAGCAGAAAAGACTTGGGCAGGGTCTTTTGAGTTCTCAGAAGTGTCTGGTTTGAGAACCCTTAAACCCACAAGAGGACAGCAAGGGTCTGAATATTAAAACTTCAGTTTTTCCACTTTAACGTTGATGTTGAGAAATCACCTTACCCATTTCTGTGCCACATTTAATGTCACTGGAATTAAATCCAATGAGTTGATATGGGAGTTAACTCATCCCTAAATAAAGGTCATGGAATGCATAATTATCTAGTAAAACATCACATTAAGAAATAATTCTAGTTTAGGAGACAGTTCGTCCAAGTGACTTGTGCACCATGCGATCCTCAGTCTATACGACTATGAGACCAGAAGAACTAGATGGTACCCAGCTGCCCCTCTCTGTTTGGAGGGGGATCTATATAGGAGATCCTGGACAGAGTGGGAGAACAATGTGGAACAAAACTCAAAATAATTTACAAAAAAAAAGGGGGGGATCAGGTTTGCTGGTCTGATAGAACCTGATGGAACCAAACAAAAGACAGGCATGTGAGCTGAACATTTACATTAGGTAGATACACTCCTTAGAGAGAACAATCATGGGAGAATAGAAGGGCTCTGTATGCACAAGGAGACAGCTCAAGGGGCAGGAGTGCATGGGAGTGAAGGACACAGGGAAGAGGTAACTATGGGGATGAAGTGGAAGAGGAACTGTTGCATTGTGGGAAATTGAAAGTCAATGTCATGAGACAAAGTATATGTGAGCTGCTGTATGGAAAGTAAATTTGCTCTGTAAACTTTCACCCAAATCACAATAAAAAATTAAAAAGAAAAAAAGAATTCTAATTTGTAGCTCTGTTTTCTAAAAATTGGTGGTTTCAGACTTTTAAGATCTTTTAGGAGAGTGGATCATATTTCAATAAAACCTTAGACTGCTTATAAGAGTCTGTTTACACATGACTGGGGATTTTCTAGAAATATTTGAATAGACTTCTCATATGTCTTCAGTCTGAAGTACCAAAAGCCGGATTGGTACTATGTGTTTATCAATGGTAATATTTCATAGGCTAACGAAATAATCAAGTTGATTTTGTTTGGGCTGCACGTATCCCACCTCAGAGTGGGAAGGGTTATTTCATACTAACCAGAAGTCCTTATTGGCAGGTATAATTACCTTTGAAATAACTGTAACAATGTAAATGATTACTTAAGCATTTTAGTTGACAAAATGTCATGAAGTCTGTTTAACAAAATAATAAAGAAGAAATATAATAGTTGAAAATAAGACCAATTTAAATGATAAGATTGTAGAATCTACTGAATCTCTTTTAAAACTGACCATTTATCTGAAATGATCCCATAAAGTGATGATAGGGCTCTATGCCTTAACTTCTAAGATTCCTTTTACTTGAGATGTTCTGATTTTAATTTCAAGCCAATTTAAGTAACAGTGTGCTGTGATTAAGTCTATGGGCACACTTATATGGGGACACACGATATTAACGAGGACTTGGTGGTCCATCTGTAGCATTCTGTTTCTGCCCAGTACACTTCAGGCACAGCCACCACCAGTCTGTCAGCAGCAGAGGCTTGTTTGTTGCTATGGTGTTGCTATGATGCAGGTTTCAGCAGAGCTTCCAGAATTAGATGGACTAGAAAGAAAGGCCTGGGAATTTACTTCTGAAAATCGGCCAATGAAAACTGTGTGGATCAAAATGAATCATTGTCTCATCTGTAACCAATATTGGAGATGGTGCAGGACCAGGCAGTGTTTTATTCCATTATGCATGGGATTGTCAGGGACAATTCTATGGCAGCTAACAACAATATTAAGGAGCTCTGGTGGCATAGTGCCTAAAGCATTTGACTGCTAACTAGAAGTCTGGTGGTTCAAACCCACCAGGCACTCCTGGAAGGAAGGTTGGGCAATCTACTGTAGTGATATCGCCTTGGTAATCCAAGGAGGGGTCGCTACAAGGTGGATCCAACTCCATGGCAGTAAGTTTGCCTTATATAAACTCTCAGGTTTGGGGTAAGATTCCTGCTTCTTTTTCATGTTGGCCTTGACCCAACTTTGCACCCCTCTCGTTCACTGCAGGAGAAAGATGATATCCAGAGGGCAGAGTGTATGCTACAGCAGGCAGACAGGCTGGGCTGCAGGCAGTTTGTCACAGCCACTGATGTGGTCCGAGGGAATCCCAAGCTGAACTTGGCTTTCATTGCCAACCTCTTCAACAGATACCCTGCGCTGCACAAACCAGAGAACCAGGACATCGACTGGGGGGCTCTTGAAGGTAACTGGTTGTTTACAATGTTAGGACAAGCACTCACTATTCTAATTCAGTGGCAATTCACCTCTCAAGCAAATGCAAACCCTCACACATTGGGAAAGATTTGCAAACAGGTCATCAGTTCTCTGGTATATAACAAAGAGAATAAGCAGATTAATCAAGTAAATTACAACCAAGCAGAAATAATTAAATACCATTATATCATATCCATTATACATAGGCTCCATCCATTATCAGAATTAAATGTTCCTGGGGAGACAATGTATTTAATTATTGGATGAAATAAATCCTGAGTCCCCAAAACCTAATTTATGTACTTAATGGACTGAGTGTTAATTCCTGGAAGCAAGAAATTGCAGCCACTCATCATCTTAAAATGATATTTGACTTAAGCTAGCACATGCTTACTTAGGTTTTATTGGTTTGGTTTTGTTTGTTTGATTTGGGTTGTGAGGACACAGAATGGTATTTTGAGGCAGGATCACTGACATTTGGTTTTTGAGGTTAATGCCCAAGGATTGGAGGAAAAGCATATAGCATTGGTCAGCTTCTAACTGGTAAAGGTGCCAGAGATATTTACTTTTCTTTCTTTCTCCCTTCCCTCTTTCCTTCCTTCCTTCCCTCCCTTCCTTCCTTCTTTTCATTCTTTCTTCTTTTCCATTGTGAGATAGGAAAATAAATACAAAACTTAAAATTAGTATCACCAAAGGTAATCCAGATAATCCAGATCTAAGGTATTGGTTGATCCTTTTCCAGAAATGCCTTACTCTAGCTGAACATACAGTATCAATCCATGTTCTAATATGCCTGCATTCAAATTATTTGCAAAGTCATTGCAAGGGATCCTTGTATTTTGGTGACTTGCAAACATATATATATATATATATCAAGCCCTCTAATACCCCATTTTTCAGCCGCCTCTAACAGCAATGCAACACACTGCTGTGGAATCGAATCCAACTCATAGCAGCCCCTCCTTGGGTTTCTGAGGTGATATCACTGTGGAAGTAGATTGCCCAACCTTCCTTCTGAGGAGTGGCTGGTGGATTTGAACCGCCAGTCTTCTGGTTAGCAGTCAAATGCCTAAGGCACTATGCCACCAGAGCTCCTACATCCCCATTTGGGCCCTTCACTATCATTTGAAATTCAACATATATAAAATGGAATTAGTGGTGCAACAGATAGGTGCTCAGCTGCGAACCAAAGGGTTGGTGGTTTGAACCCACACAGTGGCTCTGCAGGAGAAAAACTTGAAGATGTGCTTCTGTAAAGGTTACAGCCAAGGAAACCCTAGGGGCTAATTCTACTTTGTCATGTAGGGTCACTATGAGTTGAAAATCAGTTCAATGGCACCCAGCAACAAGCTCCCCCATTGCCCTTATGGAGCCCTTGGTGGTGTGAATGTTAATACACTCAGTGCTGACTGGAAAGGTAGTGGTTGGAGTCCACCCAGAGGAGCCTCCGGAGGAAGGTCTGGTGATCTGCTTCCAGAAATCAGCCACTGAAAACCCTATGGAGCATGACTCACAACTGACACACACAGGGCCACCATGAGCCATCATCAACTTATTTTTATTGCCTTTTCCCCTCTACCCTCTACCTACCCCCATCCCATCAGGTCTCTTTTAAAAACTCTCATGTCCATCAATTAGACTGTTTTTCCTTTAGTTACCAAAACTCTAGACTTCGGGTTTCACTTAGATTTCCACTTTACCCTACTATCTAGTAAATCAGCAAATACTAATAATTCCTCCTTCACCATTTCTTTGAGATTGTTATTTTTCCTTCCTGCTCCTCTGGACTCTCATTACCTCATATGCCAGTTATTTCAGTTGGTCTCAAGGGCCTATCCCTTCATTCATCAAACATTTGAATGGGCCTCAGTGCCAGTGCCAAGCACTAGCACCTCTTGTGTATTTCATTTATATTCATACCACCTTCCAATCATTCTGCACACTGCTGCAGGCACGTTCCGCTTTCATTATATCTGTGCCCTACTCGAGAATTTATTATAGTAATAAGGGAAAGAAAGTCTAATGACTGACATTGTTTAATACATCAAGTACAAAGTCTGCTACCTGGCATTCAAAGAGCCCTGATCCTGGTTGCAGGCTCTGGACAGCTTTGTCTCTGTGTACTGTACAGCACACGTTCCTGGCACATCCATTCCCGACATTCTTAGTAGAGGCCTTACCTACTGCCTTTGTGTTCACAGTTACAGTGTACCCTACCCCTACTCTTACCATACCCCAAAAATGCTCTCCTCTTTCCTTGTTACTATCCAGGTTATCCAGATTTTACTAGACCTTTAAGGTGATGCTCAAATCCTACTCCCTCCAAATGTAACCCACACTCTTCCTTTCCCTCAGTGGCACAACAGTTAAGTGTTTGGCTGCTAACTGAAATGTCAGAGGTTCAAACCAATCTTCAGCTCTGTGGGAGAAAGACCTAGAGATCTGCTCACATAGAGATTATGGCCTAGGAAACCCTGTGGAGCAGTTCTACTGTGTCGCATGGAGTTGCTATGAGTCTGAGTTGAGTCAATGGCACCCAACCCAATAATAACATTATTTCCCCAGAGTTCTGGGTGGTGCTGACTGAAAGGTAGGCTATTAAAGTCCACCCAGAAGAAAGGGATGGTGATCTACTTCTGAAAAATCAGCCACTGAAACCCTGTGGAGCACAGCTCTGCTCTGACACACATTGGGTCGTCACGAGTCAGAGCTGACTTGATTGGCAGCTGGTGTCACTGGTATTCTTTCTTCCACTGTCTCAACTACAATATCGAGTGTGTCTGCCTCATATCTTAGGCCTTCAGTTGTCATGATATCTAATAGTTTGGTGCTTTCAATTTCTTCTTTACCCAGAAAAAAATGTAAGCCTGTGAAGACAAACATTGAACAGTTTCCCTACAGGTGCCCTTGTACTATAATAATAGGCATCATAGAGGTACTTGTTCTCCAGAAGTGAAAAAATTAACATAGAGTAGCAGCCCTCCTCCAAATTCATTAGGGTTTATTTTGTTATTATTGTGTGCCTTCGAGCCAATTCTGACTCACAGTGACCCTGTAGAGTAGAACTGCCCCATAGGGTTTCCAGGGCTGTCATCTTTCAATGAGCCCAGGCTTCTACCCATGGAGGTGGGTTCCAGCTGCCAGTGTTTCCATTAACAGATGAGTGCTTAACCATTGTGCCACCAGAGTTTATTTAAAATTTTTTTTTTTATTCATTCTCCTTTAAGCTCTTAATGACCTCTTTTGTTTAACTTAGACAATCCTGTTTTGTGCTAAACAGAAGGTTGGACGTTTGAGTTCATCCAGAGGTGCCTTGGAAGAAAGACTTGGCAATCTACTTTTGAAAAATCATCCCTTGAAAATCCTTTGTCACGCGTAGGGTCACCATGAGTTGGAATAAATTTGACAGCAACTAGTTTGTTTACTTGTTGTTTGATTTAGTTAACCTTTGGCCCTAAAAATGGGCATGTTTTCTAGGAGTCTGAAAGATACCTGGTCTTTATTCATTTAGGTGAGACAAGGGAAGAGCGGACATTTAGGAACTGGATGAACTCCTTGGGTGTGAGCCCTCGAGTCAATCATTTGTACAGGTAAGAATATTTAGAATCTCATCCTGAATGGGAGACACAGAGACCTGGGAACAGCCACAGAATTCCAAATACCACTGTATGTGATGTATAATTCTTATCCTAAAAATGTGTGTGCTTTGACAAGAAGGGACAACCAGAGCCAAATTCAGCTGCAGATGCTAGATGTTCAGCTGAGAAATGCCCTTCCACACGCCAACCTCACTGTCTGTGTAATACAAAGTCATACTTCAACAAAATGACCAGCTTACTACATGTCATAAGCCTATGATTTGCTCATGAGCAGTTAAAACAATAAATGTTAAGTTTACAGTTAAGTGACTTCTAGTCCCTTGGTGGTACAAGCAGGTAATGTGCTTGGCTGCTAACTGACAGGTTAGAGGTTGAAGTCAACCCACAGGTTCCTCAGAAGAAAGGCCTGATGATCTACTTCTGAAAAATGAGCCATTGGAACCTTATGGAACACAGTTCAACTCTGACACACATGGGGTCACCATGAGTCAGAACTGACTAGAAAGCAACTTTTTTTTTTTTTTTTTTAAATTTGTTTGCTTATGCCGTTTGTTAGAGCCATATTCCTTTTCCAGGAGGCCGCATGTCTTGGTGAAGGGACATAGGTAGTCACATCTGGAGAAACCTTGGTACGTGCTTCAATTTCCCTGACAATTTCTTCATCTTTAAAGATGGAACTCCTAAAACCAATTCTGCAAGTTGTTGTGAATGTGCCTCAAACTAATACATTTGAACATTTTGATGAATGATTCCACAGAAGAATATAGAAGTGCCTGGCCCACTGTATGCCCATCATAAAAGTTGGAAATCTGAGCATTCTTTTGTGTTTGTTTTTGTTCAGTGACTTATCAGATGCCCTGGTCATCTTCCAACTCTATGAAAAGATTAAAGTCCCTGTTGACTGGAACAGAGTGAACAAACCACCATACCCCAAACTGGGAGGCAATATGAAGAAGGTAAACAATGACTATTCTGATATTCCAGTAGGCAGGAGAAGTTATAAGCCTATAAGGGCACTATGAGAATTCTTTTATCAGGAGGCCAGACTGAGAAAAATAATGTTTATCCAGGGATTAAATTATAGCATGGTAATCAGAAACATGGATAATTTTATTAGAGTAAGCCCATTATTTAGTTGATTACCTATTTATACTCTATGTTATTTGTCTGCAAGCTTTATGATGTAAAAATTCTAATTAAGATCATTAGAGCAGGAAAAAATGTATTGATTAAGGGTAGGGTTGCACAGCCCATTATCGTAATTACTGTCTTTAAGTGATACATCTGTGCTTCAGTTACCTAGTGCCACTCTGACAAAAATATACCAAAAATGGGATGGCTTTAACAGGAGTTTATTCTCTTACACTTTGGAAGATTTAAGTCCGAGTTCAAAGGCTCTAGGGGCTGGGTGAAAGCCCCTCATCCTTGGGCTTCAGCTCTGCCTCCTGCTCCTGGTCCACTGAAGCTGGAGGCTTTTCTTCACTCAGCTGCTGGCTGCTGAGGCTGACAAGACCAAGGTTGACAAGTAAAAAGGCACAGTCCTGATGTTAGCAAACCACACAGTAGGCCATTAATTCAAGTCCATTGAAAGTCCCAGGGTCAGCAGAGCATGGCAGGCTGCTGAACAACAACTTGGCTACATGCAGGGTTCAAGTGTGCCATAAGCTAGAGACCATTCCCAAAGCTGTTTCTTATATACAGGAAGCAGACCACATACACAAAGCAGCTGTTCCAGTAGATTCCACCATGGAGTTAATTACTAGTCTCACCATGGGAATAACCACATTCAGTTGCCCAGCCACTCAACCAGGCCCAGCCAAGTTGAGCCACAAACTTAACTGTCACAATCTGTAAAAAGTTGAATTGGCCAAAATTGTGTGATGGATATATTTACAACAATGATACTTATTAAAAAGAGAGAGAGAGAGAATAGCTACTGAGGCTGATGATGTACAACCAAACACCTCGTGGGATTTGATTCCCTGCTTTGGAGATTTAGGGTCATGTTTTCTTGCGGCATCCTGTTAATTGGCCTAATAATGTGTTTCTTTAATGCTTCTGTTCTGTCTCTTAATTCCTGGGGTCTTAAAGGCTTGCAAGCAACAATACAAGGCACAACAGTTGGTCTCCAGTCACTTGGAGCAATGGAGGAAGGAGAGTCAGGAATAGGAAAGGATATGAATGTGTTGATAATTGCCTCCATGAACACCTGCCTCTTCTGCCATGAGCACAAAAGAACTGGATGGTGCCTGGGTACCATTACTGAACATTTTGATCAAAGATGCTATATAGAAGAATCCTGATCAAAAGGGGAAAAGTGTAGAACAGAATGTCAAATTCTTACAAACTTTAGACTTTCTGGAACCAGAGAGGGTGGATGAACCCTTGAAACTATTGCCCTGAGATCATCTTTAACCTTAAACTAAAAATATTCCCTGAAATTATCTTAAAACTGAACAATAGTTTAGCTTAACTGGTAAAAAAAAAAAAAAAAAAAAGGTCTGCATTAAGCATTATACTTTTTAAAGAAGTATCTATAAAGGATCAAATTGACAATAGCACCTCAAAGGATTAGATAAGAACCTTAGGGGGCAGTGAGTTTAACTTGATGAAGGAGGAACAACTCAGAAAAGGAGGATGAGAATGATTGCACAACTTGAAGAATATAATCAATGTCACTAAATTATACATGTAGTAGCTGTTAAAAAAAATAGAAAGAAAAAGATAATTAAAGCAAGCAGAACTACAGTGTTGTTTTTTCCTCAGCAGGATCCTCATTGTAATTTTCCAGAGAACTGGAGCTTTGTGCTGACAATGTGACCTGCACAAATAGTTTGTCCACTGTCAACACAGTGAGAACACATTGTTTTGTCAAACAGCAATAGAGTTGACACAGCAAATCACCAGGCCTTTCTTCTCAAGCACTTTGGGTGCGTTCAAACACCATCCTCATTTACCTGTCTATACTATTCCCAAAACAGCTGAATTCATAGAGCATGACATGGAAAATTTATACTCTCTATTCTATACCACACAGTGGGCTGACATGCAGGGAAGGTAATCTTGTGGCTACAGAGACATCATTAAGAATCACAGAGACAAGAATTGGTGAGAAATGGCTGTGCCAACTCTATTGCTGCTTTGACAATACAATGTGTTCCCACTGTGTTGACAGTGGACAAACTATTTGTACAGGTCACATTGAAAACTCTGTGGAGTTCAATTGTACTCTTCACAGTGGGGTCACAATGTGATAAACCAAAACCAAACTCACTGCCGTTGAGTCAATTCCAACTCACAGCAACCCCTCCTTGGGTTTCCCAGGTGTATATCTGTGGAAGTAGATTGCCCAGTCTTCCTTCTGAGGAGTGCCTCTGAACCTGGGTTTGAACCACCAACCTTCTGGTTAGCAGTCAAATGCCTTAGGCACTACACTACCAGAGCTCCACACAGTATGTTAGAACCATGAAAATGTTTATGTAATGAATTTGTCTTAGTTTTGGACTTAGAGCACACTCCAAATATTTTTGGTGGAAGATGGAAAATTCTTAAACTAATTTAGAATCCTAGAATTGCAGAGCCAGGAGAAATGTGAGCAATCATTCAGCCTGACCATACATAGTTCATTCTGTCTTTATTTTTATTATTGGACAAGGTCTTTATTATCATAGACATGATGACATGAAGTTGTTTTACTTTGTGCTCATTAACAGCTTGAGAATTGTAACTATGCAGTGGAATTGGGGAAGAATCAAGCTAAGTTTTCCCTGGTTGGTATCGCTGGACAAGATCTCAATGAAGGAAACCGCACTCTAACGTTGGCCTTGATTTGGCAGCTAATGAGAAGGTAGGGAAAATCATGGGAATGACTTCTTATTGAATGTATTACTTACCCAGAAAAATACTAGCAACTTCTCAGGAATGTGTTTGAATCCAGTAAAGCTATGTTTTAAGCTAAGCTTAATAACCAAAGAACTATTTTTTTAATTTTTCTGTTTTTTTTTTTTTCTTCCTTCTTCCTTCTTCCTTTAATTTCCATCAGTTTTTCTATCAGGTATTTGAAACTCTGTTGTTAGGTTCACAAACATTTTAGATTGCTCCATCCTGTTAATGAGTCACCTCTTGATCTTTATGGGATGACTCGCTTCCTGCCTGATAATATTCTTTTCTCTGAAATCTACTTTTTCTGATATTAATATAGCAGCTTCCTTTTAATGTGTGTTAGCATGGCATATTTTTTCCATCCTTTTATTTTAAGCTGGTTTCTGTCAATAATACTTAATTACCTTTTAAAGAATTTATTTCAAATAAAGGGAGAAGTATGCTATTTTTATCCATCCACATATTTACCATTTCTTGTGCTCTTCATCTGTGTTGGTCCAGATTTCCGTCTGGTATTATTTTCTTTGTATGTGAAGTATTTTTTTGATGAATTCTTTCAGCTTTTATCTGTCTTTATTTCATTTTTTTATTTTTGAAAGATATTTTGTCTCAGTATAGAATTCTAGTTTGATAGTTTTTCTTTCTGTCCTTTAAAGATAATTGTTGTACTGTCTTCTGGAGTGCATTGTTTCCAACCAGAATGCTGCTATTATTCTCATCTTTGTTCCTCTGTATGTAATGTATCTTTTTCCCTCTGGCTGCTTTTAAAATTTGCTCTTATTTTAAGCATTTTGATTATAACATGCCTTGGTGTTTCTTTTGCTTGAGATTTGTTGAGCTTTTTGGATCTCTGGATTTAGAGGGTTTTTTCAGTTTGAAAAGTTTTTGTCCTTTATTTCTTCAAATATATTTCCTCTACCTATCCTCCTCCATTTTTGGGGAAGTCCTGGTATGTCTGAAGTTGTTCTGGAATTCACTGATGCTCTATTCATTTTTTTTTTTTTTCCTTCTGTTTTGTTTTTTATCTCTATGTTTCATTTTGGATCATTTCTATTGCTGTTTCTTCAAGTTCACTAATCTGTTTTTTTGTAATGACTAATCTTCCATTAATCCCATCCAACCAAAAAAACCAAAATCACTACAATCAAGTCAATTCAACTCACAGTGACCCCTCCCTGGGTTTCCGAGGCAATATCTCTAGGAAAGTAGATTGCCCAGTCTTCCTTCCGAGGAGTGGCTGGTGGGTTTGAACTGCCAGCCTTCTGGTTAGCAGTCAAGTGTGTTAGGCAGTATGCCACCAGAGCTCTTCCTTCCTATCCAGTGTATGTTTATTTTTTATGTCACTCATTATACAGTAAAACCTGTGAAAGCTGGAACCTATGTAAGGTGTAAAGCTGTCAGAGAAGGAAAACTCAAATATTTCCCATTAAAATGAGTGATAGAAAAGTAGTAAGGACAGTAGAAGCAAGATGCCATCCTGCTAGCACACTCCACCCAATCTCTCTACAACAGAGATCCAGAAAAACTAAGTGAAACAGATACAAATAATAATCCTATAATCCTGAGCATCAAATGAGAGGATAAAGAATTAGACTTAGTGCTGATTGGAAAGGGAGACAGAGCAAGGTCAGTGACTGGGGAGAGGAAAGAAGCCAGGACCAACAGAAGCAGCACCATTTTAAGCCCAGAGCCATCAGATGCAGACTAGGAGAAAACAACTTCACAGAATCCACACAGCGATAAAGACACAGTGTAAATTTGCACCCAAATCACATAAAAAAAAAAAAAAAGACACAATGTAGACAGGTTGGGAAGAATTCAAGGAGGAGGACATTAACTCTCCACTAGTGAGCCATATCTACTTCACTGACCACCTCACCTAATAGATGAGCACCACCACCAGCTCCTGCACTACTAGATCAATGACAGATGGTGGATAACACCTGCTCATCCCTATCGTAGCTTTTCTTCATGACAAACAGAGACCTGCATCTATATTCCCACCAGTTATTCCACCAAACCAAAGAGCTGGGGAGTTTCTCAGTGCTGCCAAGCTAACAACCAAGGAAGCAGACCTACCCATCCAGACACACTGAATCAAAGCAAAACAAAAAACCAGGGTGAAACAAAGCAATACATAACCAACAAATAAAAACAACAACTTCAAAATGTCTTGGAGACAATAGACAACCTCATTTCAAACAAAGAAAGAGGTTAAGATAGTGGAAACAAGTGTCCCAAATAAAGAGTTAGGAAACTTTTCTGATAATAGAACTATCTGATAAGGAATTAACAAATATACATATATATATATATATATAGAGAGAGAGATAACCTTCTAAGACCTCAATAGGAGCTCTGGTGGCATAGTGCCTAAGGCATTTCACTGGTAACCAGAAGGCCGACAGTTCAAACCCATCAGCCACTCCTCAGAAGGAAGATTGGGCAATCTACTTCCGTAGTGATACTGCCTCAGAAACCCAAGGAGGGGTCACTATGAATCAGATCCGACTCAACAGCAATGAGTTAGTTTTTTTTTAAGACCTCATTGAAACCATAAACAAAAGCAAGGAAAAGACAGACTGTACGCTTGAAGAATTCAGGAAAATCATTCAACAGCAAAATGACAAAATGAATAGACAATTAGAAACTATACAAAAACAGCAATTACAAATCCAGAAGATGAATACTAAAATTACAGAGATAGATACCACATTGGAAGGACAAAAGAGTAGAATTGAATTGGCAAAAGAGCATATTAGCCAGCTTGAAGACAAATCCCTTGGCACCATCTTGTATGAGGAAAAAAAAAAGATTGAAGAAAGCGTAAGAGTTATATGGGATGATATGAAGAGAAATTACCTACATGTGATTGGAATTCCAGAACAAGAGGAGGCACAAAAAAAAAAAAAAAATCCCATGGAGAAAATTGGCAAAGATCTGCTAACAGAAAACTTCCCCCAACATTATGAGAGACAAAAAGATATCCTTCCAAGAAGCTCAATAAACCTCATACAAGATAGTCTCCAAGAGAAAGTCACCAAGGCATATCATAATCAAACTTTCCAAAATCAAAGACAAAGAATGAATTTTGAGAGTAACTCAGGAAACATGAAATGTAACCTACAAAGGGCAACCAATAAGACTAAGCTCTGATTTCTCAGAAACGATGCAAGAAAGAAGGCAATGGGGTGACATATACACAACCTTGAAAGAAAATAATTGCCATCCTAAAATTATATATCCAGCAAAACTGTACCTCAAATATGATGATGAAATTGGGATATTCCCAGACAAATGGAAATTAAGTGAACTTATAAAAACCAGATCAATCTTATAAGAAATGCTAAAAGGAGTCCTTTGGAGAGAAAGTCAACAGCAGAAGATAACAACCAAGGACATGTGACAACACTACCCAGATATGAACCCAGAGAAAGAATTCTCAAAACTAAAATAAGCTTACAAAACAGAAAATAGAGAACAAGAGGTGTAAATATGTAAAAAATAAGAACTACAAAGCAAAAAGAAGGAATAAGTGGTATAATTACAGAACTCCCAAAAGGAGAGAAAGTCAGCAATATATCAATATAAAACAGACTTTTCCAAATTTGGGAAAGTACTAGGAGCTCTGGTAGCATAGTGGCTAAGGCACTTGACTGCTAACCAGATGGCTGGCGGTTCAAACCCATCAGCTACTCCTCGGAAGGAAGATGGGGCAATCTACTTCCAAAGTGATACTGCCTCGGAAACCCAAGGAGGGGTCACTATGAGTCGGGTCCGACTTGACGGCACATAACAACAACAATAATTTACTACACAGTAAGCAGAAAACCAAAATATGACACAAGAAAATCACAAGGACTTGTTAGCATAAAATCAACACAATGAAGAAAAGAAAAAGAAAGCCTGATTTAAAAAATAAAAAAATGAACTTAGCACAGAGAAATATTCTGAACAAAGAAACCATCTATACCACAATAAAAAACACAAAAGGATGATAGTAAATTCTAACTATCAGTAATTACACTGAAAGTGAATGGATTAAATGCACCAGTCAAGAGTAAGAGAGTGGCAGAATGGGTAAGAAAACAAGACCCAACAACATACTCCTTACAGGAGACTCACCTTAGACACAAAGATAAAGATAAATTAAAAATCAAATGATAGAAAAAAATATATCAAACTAATGGCAACTTAATAGCAGGAGTGGCAATATTAATTTCTGATAAAATAGACTTCAAGACCAGAATAAGAGACAATGAAGGGCATTATAAGATGTGAAAGGGTCAGTCAACCAAGAAGACATAACCATAATAAATATTTATGCACCCAATGAAAGAGCTCCAAAATATGTAAACATTAACTGAATTGAAAGGAGAAATAGACAATTCTACAATAGTATTAGGAGGCTTCAACACACCAATTTTGATGAAGGACAGTACAACTAGAAAAAAAATCAACGAAGATACAGAAGATCTCAACAACACAGTCAACCAACTCAACCTCACAGGCATCTATAGAACACTCCACCCAATAGAAAACACAGTACTTTTTCTTTTCCAGTACACATGGATGGATGATTTTCCAGAATAGAATGTTAGGCCACAAAACAAGTCTCAATAAATTTTAAAATATCAAAAAAAAAAAAAACTACAAAGCATCTTCTTGGGTCACAACACTGTAAAATTATAAATCAATAATAGTAAGACCAAATAAAAAAATATCAAATACATGGAAACTGAATAGTACACTGCTCAAGAACTACTGAGTAACAGAAGAAATAGTGTGAAATAAAATTCCTAGAAACAAACAAGAATGAAAACACACACAATCACAGGGAAAGCAGTACTCAGCGGTCAATTTATACCAATAAATGCACACATCAAAAAAGAAGAAATAAGCAAAGTCAACATCTTAACCCAACAACTCCAACAATTAGAAAAAGAGCAACAAAAGAAGCCTATA